GCCATGCCCTATCAAAGCAAAGACGAGGTCGGTGCATACTGCTGCAATTTGTATTTATTCCAGAAAGAACATTTATAACAATGTCATTGCGAGTGATTTGGTGAGGTACTCACGTGTTAGTCAACTGTTGGCAACGCTTTCCATAAGGTAAATTTCAATTATCAAGACTTCGAATTCGACCCTTTTTGTACTAGCTCTTTCAGACGCAATCAAGCAGATGCATGTCTACCATTTATGGCACTAAACAGATTCACGCAAGGAGAAAGCATCACGTCTGATTACATCAAATTCAGAATATAAGACTATAAGTACATGTAAATGTTTTACAAATCTATTCCATAGCAGTTCTCCATTTTCCTTGCAGTTTCGCTGGCTACCGGTACCTCTTGCTTCGTGGCGTTGTTGAGCTGGCACACCACCTTCCCTCGCCTTTGCTCCAGGAGATTGAAGGAGCGGCATCGCGGCTCTGCTAGACACGCTTTGCTGCATCTCACCATGCCTTTAGCCGGCAGCTCCTTCATGACATGACCAAAGAGGCACGGGGCGATAATACGGCCGTTGCCGCTTATCTGAAGGCAGCGTGTCGGGTTGCAGTTGACGACAGGGAGCTCGCACATCGCGTATCTGGAATTGGTACAGCGCTGATTTCCCCACTCGCCATTTTCAAGCATCAAGCCACAATCGGACCCTTTGTGGTTGCTGGGTCGCCCTCCTACCCAGTTCTGGTAGGTGCCGGTCTCATCATCCCTCAGCGGGCAGTTCTGCCACTGGCCATCGTGGTCAAGATCATGGCAATCGATCCAGATGCCTTCGTGTCCAGGAGGAAACACTAGTTGAGATAACTTCAACACAAATGCTTGCTCCCTGCGGGAGTTTGGCACTGCAAGATCTGCTTGAGATGCCGCGCAGATGCTGGATGCTTTGTGCCAGTCCATCAGCTTAGCCACTGCCCGGTAGCAGGACTCTCCATATCGCTGCCAGCCAAGAGGGCAAATAGCAGCCATGGTAGTACAGATGACAACTACGAACGCATAGATAGCAGCTTGAAACACGAGAAAACAAACCAGTTTCATGATTTGTTTTCGAGTAGCTTTACGGTTGCCGCAATTTTTTTCTGATTTAACGAGTAGTGGTGTGTGAATGGTATTCGCTCCCTCGCGGTAAAACGCTATTTCGACCATTAATTCTGCGTTGACGAGCACCAAGGACTGGTGCGGAGAATCATTCGCTTGACTGCAACAGAGAAGATTCGTTTGATTGCAACTAGGAAGAAGCTAACGGAGAGATTCTTTGTTGTTTGGTTACCGGTGTTGTCGTCCAGGAAACGAGACAAAACTGGCATATTAAAATACCTCGCAAAAACTTTGAGGTGCGTCAGATGCATCTGCGTACTAGTTCTCATCATTACGACTACTGCGTGTGGCAAGGTCTCATAGGCCTACCATTGAGAATAATAAATGCAGTTGTGACGTTGTATTTGGTCTCTCATAGTAACGTTACACTGCGCTGCAGAATCATGCATAAATAAACTACAAAGATTTCAAATGTCAAATTCACACACCTCAGTTTTTCCCCACATCTTGTGTTATTTTTTCCACGCTTCGGCAGAACATCAAATACTAACACTTTCGAACGAATTCATCCTTAATGAGGCTGTGCTTTACCCAAATAACGTACATAACGTACATAATACTTGATGTAGCTCCTCACAGGAGCTGTGGAAACACAGCTAATTTGATAATATAATACAATATTTTCTTAATTGTGATGCCAAATAAAATTCATTAAAAATTTCATTACCAAGTTTAACTCAGTTTCCTTTAGAAAGTCTTCTTTTAGACAATCCGCATGACCGCCTCCCCAAAATGAAAAACAGTACAGGCATGTATACGCTTTGGCATACACTCCCCTCGTGAGGGAACGCTATCGCTTAAAATAATTAGCATAAAATGATACCAAAGGGAAGGCACCAGAGGCTTAAAAAAGGAACCAAATGTGTACTGTACATCTGTTGACACGATGTTATCATGAGCGTAGAAATGTATCTTGCATAATTATACGAAGTCTGCGACATCGCATGTGGTTCTTTATATGGCCCGGAGCTCAACTACCATCGTCGATACCAATACGTATGGCTCGATGGCAGCACATATTAGGCGTACATTCAAGATATTGAACTAAAAGGGCCAACACAGGGTCAAAGGCAAAATCATGGGCCATCCATTCGACCAACATAGCCAAAGCTAAAAACTTACGAAGTGCGTACAGCGTTGCATAGCAACACCAATATTCACATGCAAGCTGATAATCTGATCACAGATTACTTTCATTGGGAATAGGCGGATTTACAAAATATTCATTTTCTTTTATGTATGCTGTATGTATGACTTCAGAGTTTGTCTTTTCGAAAATGTATGCATGGGCTACGTGTATGGCTCTCGTGTCTTTATCGGTGTTATCAAATACAGAGTTGTTTCAAACTTCCTGGCTGGTAAAATCTCATACGCCTGATTAGTTGCAGTCTTTCAGCTGGGGTGGAGCTTCCAAAGACACCCGCTGAAGTCATTTCATTGAGATTTGAGTCGATGAAGAGATGAGGAATTCTTTTTAGGTTCCGTCGACTGCCTTAAAGCAAGTTGTAGGCCACAGTGTATTTGTACCAGTGTGTGCCGGAACTGAAACTCAAACAGGCATTCTATGATAAGGCCCACAAAGCACACAGACAGCGCGAAGTATTGTTTCATAGCAGGGCCAGACAGTAGGCCTACGTGATATTGAAAACAAATGACGCAGACCATGTAATATAACCTCATGGCTGAGGAGGAATCGCTGATGTGTGATCTAGCGTGCTAAAAAGAAGTTGATTAGGCCCTACACAAAGGTGGAGTTGGATAATCTCTAGTAAGTAGGGACACTGGCTGAGGGTGAAACCGGAGTCCTGACCTACCACCCCATCAAACATCGACAAGGAACACGATTATCTAATGATGGATACCACGATCAACCAGATCAAGTGGCACAAGTAGAGCACGAGATAATTAAACCAACTTCGTCATCGTCTACGCTGCTACGCTCATATTTTGATCATTTTCTCTGCTAATCGTATCTCAAGCCAGAAAGGGACATATCACTCATCGAAGCATTGATCGACATTTATCTGAACGTAGAATACCAGGGAGCTTCTACAGGGTACATCTGAAATAATCACCAATGAACCTAAGGGAAGAATGCAGACTGTCAGCTTGAGCAGTTGAGTCGGTCAAGTTCTTCGCTAACCGGCTCGCCGTGGCCGGGGACGTGCGCAGCAACAAAGCCGTTCTCATATGCATATACCCGCAGACGATCGAGAAAAGGACAAAATGACCAAAAATTTCATTCATAACTGCTTGCCCAACATTAAGATGTCGCCGGTGCGACAGATGTTGATTCCCCTGAGCACCAAGCTATTTTCGAGGTTTAAACAGTTGCATCGGCCTGGGGAGGCGCGAGGTCCAAAAGTGCCAGCTGTGCGGACTGCTATTGGAGCCTTTTGTAGCACGTACACTGGGTGATTGTTAGGGATGGAATCTAGGAGCAGAACTGTTAGCTCGTATTCAGTCTGAAAGTATCGGGCCAAACGGGTCCTTCCAATCGCTCTGTTTTGCAATGGGGTGTAGGATGATCAATTTTCCAAATGGAGATGGGCCTCATAACTCTTTTGAGGGGTGATTTTCTCTGGAGAGAAATATTTTCAAAAGTCCTTTGGCATGTACGGTACTTGCCTATAGCTATTTGCTAATGAAGCAACCTGCGGCCATTTTCGTGGCGGCAAAATATTGCAGTGCGGGATGGAAATGCATTACACACACGTTGTAGCTTACTGTGATTACACCGAAAAAGTGCCAAAAGTGCTGTAAAAAAGAATTTTATTATTTTTGAATGGGAATGGATAATTTAAAAAAAATAAAATGTCTATAACAACCAACGAAATTGATATTAGTGTACTTTTTTAGTGCTCGGTGCCGATTCTTTGCCAACGAAATAGGAATGTATGAAATTTAAGTGGACTATTAGATTGCCAGTGGTCTTATATGTTGATTTTGACATTAATCTTTTAATATCCTTAAGTTTAAGAAACTGTCCTTAGTTTAAAATTGACTTATTCAGCTTTCCTCTCCAAGTTTTGCTCGATTAAATGAAAAGAAACTATGTCTGATATGGGTTAAAAATCTGCCTGCCCAGAATACATCTTTCTTATGTTTTTATTGCTTTTATTACTAATTGATTTCTTTTATACCATGAACCTTTATTAATTTTAACCATTCGTTCTTATTGCAGTCAGACTTTCTATTTTTGATTTATTTGTCAATAATTGTTTATACAAGTAAACGATTGAATTTTACCTTTATTCATGTTTTCATCGGGCATGTTTATTTTTCATAATTTTTTACTTTTTTCAATAATTTAGTTATTTTTTCAGTAATTTTTGTTTTATTATATTTTGGCATGCTGTTTTTGATAGATTTAAATGTGAATTATCACTCCTTGTGCCAGACCTGTTTGACTACCATTTTTTCCATATTCATTGAAATTTCCTCTAATAATATTTCTTACATGAATATAATATAGAACTTTAATGAACATATGTAATTTAAATGTCGTAAATTTTCATGATATTTTTAGCATACGTTGAAAGTCCAGCTATAGTACTCCCCATACGGGAATGGTACACCACGTACGGCCTTTTGCCACACGCAGTCGGCGGGCGGGTTCCTAATTCACTTTCGCAACCGCTGCCTGCCATCCAGATTTGTAGGTCATTGGTTAAGCCCCTGAAAATTGAAAGGAAAATGAAAGATGATTTTTCCTGATTGTTTAATTAAGTTTGTATTTTTATCCCTTTTTTCTATAGCAGCTTACTTACTCTTCAGGTCTGCAACCTTTAAAAAAAAAACTTGCACTATGCAGCGCCCTCAAGAGTTGAGATCTTCATCAGCGTCAATAATACCTGTAATATTTTGCGAGGGGTACGGCGTAGGCATCGCCTTCATCGGAAAATGCAAGTGGGTAAACCTCTTAAAATCAGGGGAGTTTCGGATGCAACAAAGATTGGAATTGTTGCTGACACTTTGGAAAAGGCGTTGAAGAAAGGATGTGAAAAATTAAAGGTGAGATAGTGAAATAATTTGGGATATTCGAGACTCAAGAAACTTAGCCCCGCTAGTGTGGCCCATGGCACGGACTCTCACTCCCGCTCCATCCGTAGCCACAGTACACATCCGTATACGCAATTTCGTGTCGGCGTTCTGAAAATTTTCAGCGCACCCACCTATCATCGTGGGTGCAATTTCTTTTGCACACACAGATGATTTTACTCATGTTGTTCTGGTATTTTCCAGTCTTTTTGCCTTCACCCATTCAATCTCATGGGCTCACTTTCACAGTCGCCATCTTTAAAAAAAAGTTGTAGAACATAAGGG